TTTTTTTCCTGAGAAAAAAAAGAATGGAAACAATCGTACGATCAATCTGCAAAAAGACAAGATTTCGATTGAAATAAATAATAAAATAACAAAAAGATACCCACAGCTGCACCTCAAGTTACAAAAATAAGTGTTGAAGATGAAAAATGTAGATTTAAAGAAGGCAGACTTCACCAAGTTCCTCATTTTTACCCCTAAAAACCAAAACTAATCAATGGAAGCGACTATTTCCGACAAACTCACATGAAATCGAACTATTTTGTCTCTCATCGAGCTAACCCACTGCGAGGTACAGTTCTGATAAAAAAATGGACATCGAAAACAAAAAAAATAAAAAAAATCCCATAAAAAGCCATTCCAAACTGCGTTAACAACACAGAGGAGGGATTCATGGCGAGAGAGGAAGGAGCGTAAAAGTTGCTTACCTCTGGGAATTAGGAGATGAAGTCCGCCATACACAGCTCTGTATTCTCTCGAGATTCGCCGATTCCTCAGTACTTCAAATAAATAAGTGACGAAAAGGGCGACGTCTCGCCAGTTCTCTCTCTCTCTAGGTCGTACTGCCCTCGCTCTCCCTCTCTCTCTCCCTCGGCCTCTCCTCTTATACCACAAACTCCATTAGCTCACTCAGAGCTTAGAGGTGTCGCTTCATTTCTTACCGTACGATTTGTTTGAGCTTTTGAAATAAAATAGGAATAAATGACATGAAATGCATATATACATGCATATAAAAATATCATGGAGTGATATAGGTTGCTCTCTTTATAAATGTGACATGAATGAGGAATCATGTTCTAATCAACTTTTATTTTTCAACATGAATCAATTTAGCACTGATATAACTAGTTAATGTTACAAATTTGCACATTATCAATATAGTTGGAGTGGAATCTTTATCTTTATCTATGTCGTTGGAGTGGAGATCTTTAGTTGCCTATACGGTGAAAATTCAATTATTTAAATCAAGCATGTCTCTTCGCTTAATAGCTCATTATAAATGTAAATCTCATTAATTGAAATGGTGTCGTATTTAATTTATTTTTATTTTTATTTTTGCTATATACTCTTTGCTTAATTTTTTGAATATATGTGAGCAAATGGGCAATACAAGAGATGGTGCAACATCTACTATATGGGACAAAGAAATAATGTTATTTTTTGTGCTATATGTATGGAAGAGATTGGATTAGGGAATAAGTCAACAACATACTTCATCAAAGATGGTTGGCACAACATTACAAATAATTTTCAAGAGAAAACCGAGAGCGTGTAAGATTAAACTCAATTAATGAATATATGAGACCAATTAAAAAGTACTGGAAGATCTAAAAATAGCTGAAAACAGGATCCATTGGCTTTGTTTGGGATCCAATTAAAAACACCAAAGATGTATCAACATATTAGTAGAAAGATAAATTAGAGGACAAATCTATTTTAAGACATATATATTTAAATTTTCATGGCATGCACACTTTTTATGCATAAGTTATTTCTTTTGATTATATGAATGATAGGTTGTACCAAGTGCTAAGAAATTTATTTGATGGAATTGAATCAGAGCTAGAGGGAAAGCTAGATGTTATGTTTGGTGGGGTTGTTGCGACT